CCCTCCAGCCCAATTCGAGGAAGATCATACGCAAACCAGTCAAGAAGACATACCTGCAAGCTTGGAACAAAACTCAAGCTTGCTTCCGGGAACCACCTTTGTCAACATATCAGCACCGTTCTTGTTTGTGTGAATCTTCTTCAACTTCATTAGTTGCTTTTCAATGATATCACGCAACCAATGATACCTCACATCAATATGCTTTGTGCGAGCATGATACATGGTGTTTTTGCTCAAGTCTATAGCACTTTGACTATCGCAAAACACAACATACTCACCTTGCTTCAATCCCAACTCTTGAAGAAAACGCTTCAACCAAATCATCTCTTTGCCCGCTTCCACTGCTGCTATATACTCTGCCTCAGTTGTTGACAAAGCTACACACTTTTGTAGCTTGGATTGCCATGAAATGGCTCCCCCTGCAAATGTAAACAAGTAACCTGAGGTAGACTTTCTGTTATCAAGATCTCTAGCCATGTCAGCATCTGTAAATCCCTCAAGAATAGGCTCGCCGCCTCCAAAACACAAACTCAGTTTTGAGGTGCCCCGCAAATATCTCAAGATCCACTTTATAGCTTCCTAGTGAATCTTTCCTGGATTAGTCAAGAATCTGCTAACCAATCCAACAGCATGTGCAATATCCGGCCTTATACACACCATAGCGTACATCAATGAACCAACAACAGAAGAATAAGGAATATGAGACATGTTTTCCTTCTCTTTCTCAGAACTAGGACAAGAACGCTTGCTCAACTTGAAATGACCGGCAAGTGGTGTATGAACTGGCTTAGCATTCTTCATATTGAACCTTTCAAGCACCCGTTCAATATACTTCTCTTGTGAGAGCCAAAGCTTACCAGCTTTTCTATCACGAACAATTTCCATGCCAAGAATTTGCTTCGCATTACCCAAATCTTTCATTTCAAAGGACTTTGACATATCCTCTTTTAACCTGCGAATCATCTCAACATCTTGTCCCACTATCAACATATCATCAACATACAAACAAAGGATAATGAAGTTATCATCAGACCCATTACCACTCATGAAGGAATCAAACTTACGGTACCACTGCCTTGGTGCTTGCTTAAGCCCATAAAGACTCTTTTTCAACTTGCAAACAAAATTCTCTTTTCCTTTAACTTCAAATCCTTCCGGCTGCTCCATGTAAATCTCATCATCCAAATCACCATGTAAAAATGCAGTTTTTACATCAAGCTGCTCAAACTCAAGATCCAAACAAGCCGCTAGTGCCAAAATCATGCGAATGGAAGTCATCTTCACCACTGGTGCAAAAATTTCATCATAATCGATGCCTTTCTTCTGATGGCATCCCTTCACCACCAGTCTTGCCTTCCGTCTCACTAGCTTTTGGTCATCTTTCTTGTTCTTGAACAACCACCTGCTCTTCAAGACTTTCTTCCCTTTTGGACGCTTCACCAAGTCATATGTTTGATTCTTCTTCAAAGAATCCATCTCCTCTTGCATAGCCTTCAACCAATGGTCTTTGTCTGGATGTGACAAGACCTCTTTAAGGCTTTCAGGCTCCCCCTCATCAGTGATTAGGATATATTCTGAACTTGGATAAAGTCTTGAAGGTTGTCGAACTCGGGTTGACCTTCTCAATATTGGCTCTTCCACCTGTGGGCTGTTTTGCTCCCCCTGATTAGAAAACTCTCCACTTTCTGTTTCAACAGCTTCATCATCAGGTTGTGGCACAATCTCTGGTTGTACCTCTTCAATACGGTCATGTTCATGAGTA